GAATTCATCAGAAAATACACATTATACACACAAAATATGTTAAATGTTTCTTAAAAATTAAATATCTTATGTTCAATGGGGGAAAAAGTCCCCCCCCCCCATACATTTTAAAAGTACATATTTTAGAGCAGTAATCACACAAGGTTATCCAAGGTTATCACACCGTCAGAATCTTCTAGCGGTCCATGCTCTGTGTATTGTGAAATAACTCAAGTGTATTGTGCAAAGTGGATCTGAAATGACATCGAGCATCATCTGACCTTCTGCGCCACCTGAGCCACCCAGTGTGACGTACAGTTGCTGAGATCGGGACCTTTCGGGTTCCAGACGCCACCGGTCAAGCAGAGGAACAGAGCGATTCCTGGAGGAGCAGACACAACAAACACTCAGTTCAAGATTACAGCAAAATGCAGCTGAAGTCAAAGTTATTAGACTTGCTGTGATTTTTAAAAATATTTCCCAAATGATGTTTAACAGAGCAAGGAGTTGTTCCCCTTCGGGGGGAACTTCAGCACTATAAGTGGATTTGATTTGTAAAATCCACGCATTGGGAGGTTCGGTTCAGAAGCTACTCGTCTGAAAGAGTATTGAACGGGCCAATTAAGAATGAATTGGCAGCGCAAGCCTGCGCAGGTGAGCGGCATAAGCAATCAACTGAGTATATAAGCTCACCTGGCGCCAGCAGACGCTATCCTTTTCGCTTCAGAGACTTTCTGATCGAGTTGATGAGGGTTCCTCCTGCTGTGACCAGCGATTCTGAGCGAACGAGAGCATTCTCCCGGTCCAGAGTGTGTACACGCAGTGGCAGACGGTCGAGCTGGGTTTCTCCCTTGCCTGGCGTTCTTTGGGTCCGGTCCTCCAGAGCGGTGCGTATAAAGTTGCAAACTTCACAGAAAGAGCAACACAGTCGTGCAGCACGTCCTTTTCAGGACGGCGCTCCGACTGTGCGTTTCTGGATGCGGTGGTTTCCTGTCCTCGGATGATGGGCACGGGCATTGCGTTACATGTCTGGGGGTCCAGCATGTTAATGCGCTGCTCGCGGGCAGTTCATGTCGTCATTGCGATGCCATGACTGTTGCGCAAGATCGCGGTTAGCCTTTGCAAAAGGGTGAACCACCCCAGTTGTCCCCTGCTCTGCAGCGGGCACTCGGGCAGATCTGAGGGTTTCAGCGAGAGATAATCCGTCGCCCACGGGCCCGCGGACCTCCCGCTCCTCTAAGCGCTCCATCCAAGCTTCGGGCGGGGGAAGCGATCCGTCTAACAGATGGTAGCCCTTACGCCCGATGACACCGGAGACCAGATGTCCACCGCGGCATCGGAGGGTGGGCTTTCATTGTCCGATGATGATCCAGACCCGCTCGCCCCCTTCGGGCTGGTGAGCGCTGTCACTACGGATCCTGAAACGGACATGTTAGCCGTGCTTTCCCGGGCTGCTTCGGCCGTGGGTTGGAGATGGTTTATCCCCCAGCTCCGCGGCCGGACCGACTAGAGGGGCGTTCCCTTCTTCCCGGAGGTGCACAGTAGGCTCACGCGGTCTTGTAAAGCACTTTTTTCTGCTCGTGCTGCGTGTTCCTCCACCCTAACCACTCTTGACGGTGAAACAGCCAGGGGGTATGTGGCGATTCCTCAGGTTGAGTGCGCGATGGCGGTAAATCCGCGCGGCGCCTCTTCTTGGCGGGGTCCGCCTCGTCTCCCATCCAAAGCCTGTAAGTTATCTACCTCCCTCGGAGCTAGAGCTTACATAGCTGCGGGCCAGGCTGCTTCCGCCTTGCATGCGATAGCCACCTACCAGCGCTACCAAGCGCAGGCGCTGGCCGAGCTGCACGAGGGTGGGTCCAACCCAGGCTTACGAGCTTCGCACCGCCGCCGACTTAGCTCTTCGGACTACTGAGTCCGCTGCGTGTGCGTTGGGGAGGACGATGTCCACATTAGTGGTCCAGGAGCGCCACCCCTGGCTGATATGCGCAAAGTCGACAAAGTCCGCTTTCTTGACTTCCCCATATCCCCAGCCAGGTTCGGCGACACTGTCTGTGAATTCACCCAGGAATTCAAGGCGGTGAGAGAGCAGTTGGTGGGTGATGTCTTATCGGCGGTCCGTAGCCCGCTCCGCCCGCCGTGCCATTCATACCTGCTCCTCGCCGAAGGCGCCCGCCTACGAGAGCTGCTCCGCCCCCGCACACGCCTCAGGCGAAGCGAGCGCGTCGGGCACCTCGGAAGCAGGCAGCCCCCCTGCCCAGAACGCCGCTAAGTCCGGCAACGGACCGCGAAGCGCCCCTGGGACAGGCCATCTGGAGAAGAGGGAACTTGCTCTTTCCCCGCTGGAGGGCGGGGCCCCATTTCCAACGGCACTTTTTACTGCCATGAAAACATTATGAAAGGGCACTTTTCACTTCCCCAGATGTGACAGCCCGAAATCTGCCAGTCTGGGACGCTATGCTTTCTAGCTTGCAGATTCGGTGCGTTTCGCCAGTGGCTCACGAGCGCTGGGAGGACGGTCTCCTTTCTCCCACCCCTCGAGCCTCCCCTCCGGAGCTCGGGTTTGGAGTGAGAGCAAATATCTCACCTCCAGCTTTTCCGTGGGACCCGCGAGCTTCCCGGATCAGCACACCCACTCCGCGCTGCCCCACTGCTGGTACGTCAGCGATTGTAGCGATGAGTCCATTAGCGAGAGCTCTGCCTGCCTGGTTAGCGCGGGCCAGCTCTTCGCGGTGGCTCATACGCACAATCAGACTCGGCTATGCGATTCAGTTCGCGAAACGGCCCCCCAAGTCACGGGTGTGTATTCACCAGGGTCAGCCCCCTGTCCGCCCCTGTCTTGCGAGAGGAGATTGCTGTCCTCCTGGCGAAGGATGCAATCGAGCCGCTCCCTCCAGCCGAGATGGAGGGTGGGTTTTACAGCCCACGCTTCATCGTGCCCAAAAAGAGCGGTGGGTCACGGCCAATCCTAGATCTGCGCGTTTTGAACCGCTGCCTGCACAAGCTGCCGTTCAGAATGCTTACGCAGAAGCGCATCCTCCGGTGCGTTCGTCCTCTGGGTTGGTCTGCAGCATTAGACCTGATGGACGCGTATTTCCATGTCTCCACTCTTCCTCGCCACCGACAGTTTCTGCGGTTTGCGTTTGAAGGTCGAGCTTGGCAATACAAAGCCCTCCCCTTCGGGCTCTCTCTGTCTCCGCGGGTCCTCACCAAGCCCGCGGAGGGTGCCTCAGCGCCCCTTCGGCTCGCGGGCATCTGCATACTCAATTTCTTTACGACTGGCTGATTTTTGCCCTCTCTCGGAGCAGTTGATTATGCACAGAGACAAAGTGCTCTGGCACTTCCACCTGTGGGGGTTTCAGGTCAACCGAGAAAAGAGCAAACTCGCCCCCGTGCAGAGGATCTCTTCTCTCGGGCTGGAGCTGGACTCGGTCACCATGGCAGCGCGCCTCTCCGGAGAGCGCGCTCAGCTGATGCTGTACTGTCTGAGAGAGCTCGACAGTAAAATAGTGGTCCCACTGAAACTATTTCAGAGGCTCCTGGGGCATATGGCATCCGCAGCCGCTTCATGCCGCTCGGATTATTCTATATGAGACCACTTCAGCACTGGCTTCACGATCGAGTCCCCAGACGCGCATGGCACGCGCGCGCACACCGAGTCTCTGTTACTGCGCTGTGTCGCCGCGCCCTCAGCCCTTGGAGCGACCCCTCGTTCCTACAGGCCTGGGTGTCTCTAGAACAGGCGTCCAGTCTTGTTGTCGTTTCAGCAGACACTTCCAACACGGGCTGGGGGGCTGTGCGTTGCGGGCATGCGGCTGCGGACCTGTGGAAAGGTACCCAGTTGCATTGGCATATCGCCTGGAGCTGTTGGCAGTGTTCCTCGCTCTCCACCGTTTTTTTCCGGTGCTGGAGCGGCAACACGTGCTGGTCAGGACGGACAGTACGGCGGCGGTGGCGTATATCAGCCGTATAGGGGGTATGCGCTCTCGCCGCATGTCTCAGCTCGCCCGCCGTCTGCTCCTCTGGAGTCATCCGCGGCTGAATCGCTGCACACCATTCATATTAAGGCAAGCTCAACCGTGCAGCCGATGCGCTCTCACGGCAGCCTTGCGTCCTGGAGAATGGAGACTCCACCCCGAGTCTGTTCAGCTGATATGGGCGCGATTCGGGGAAGCCCAGATCGATCTGTTGCTTCCCCCGAGATCGCTCATTGCTAGTTGTTCTTTCCCTGACCGAGTGCTCTCGGCACGGATGCACTGGCTTACAGCTGGCCTCGGGGCACGCGCAAATACGCGTTTCCCCCAGTGAGCCTGCTCGCGCAGTTACTGTGCAAGGTCAGGAAGAGGACGAGGAACAGGTTGCTGGTTGCGCCCCTCTGGCTCAACCGGACCTGGATGTCAGAGCTCTCCCTCGCGATAGCCCTCCCCTGGCAGTCCCTTCGAGAGAGCACCTACTCTCTCAGGGACAGGGCACCACCTGGCACCCTCGCCGATCTTTGAAGAGATTTTAGACGCGGGGAAGACTTAGGTAACCTCCGATTGCGGTGGCTAATACCGTCACTCGGGCTAGAGCCCCCTCCCCGAGCGCGCCTATGCCCTGACGTGGAGTCTATTCACTGAATGGTGTGTCTCTCGCTGAGAAGACCCCCGTAATTTGCCAGATCAGCGTTGTGCTTTCTTTACGCCGAGAGAAGCTGGAGAGCAGGCTGTCGCCCTCCACACTCAAGGTTACGTGGCTGCCATCTCCGCTCTCATAACGCGGTGGCTGGCAGCACCGTGGGCATAACCTCATCATCCGGTTCCTCAGGGGCGTTAAGCGAATTAATCCATCCCGCCCCCTCTCATGCCCTCTTAGGATCTCGCCCTCGCTACACAAGCCGCGTCAGATCCCTTCGATCCTCGACTCAGTATCTTTCTGTCCCTGAAGACAGCTCTGCTGGTCGCGTTGATATCGATTAGAGGGTCGGGGACCCGGAGGCATTTTTCGGTCAGTGACTCGTGCCTGTAATTGGGCTGGCTTCTCTCACGTCCTGAGACCCCGCCCGCGATATGTGCCCAAGGTTCCTACCACTCCGTTTTAATACGAGGTAGTGAGCCTGCAAGCGCTGCCCTCGGAGGAGGCAGACCCAGCCCTTCTTTATTGTCCAGTTCGCGTTTTGCGTATTATCCGGACCGCACTCAGAGTTAGATCATCTGAGCAGCTCTTCGTCTGTTATAACGGTCGGCAGCAGGGAAGTGCCGTACCGAAATAAGTTCCCACTAGATTGTGGATGCCTTTCTTTCACTATCAGAGCCGAGATAAGCCGCGTCCCCCGAGAGCGCGTGCGCACTCCACTCGGAGTTTCGCATCCTCTCGAGCGCGCGCACGCGGCGCCCCTCTAACAGACTTCTGTAGAGCTGCGGGCTGGGTGACACCCAACACATTTGCAAGGTTTTACAATCTGCGAGTGGAGCCGGTTTCCTCAAGGGTATTAGGTAACCCTTGGTGATTGAGGAAACAATTCGGTAGGGTGTTGAAACACGCTTGCTGCGCCATTTTCCCTAACACGGAGATACGTGCGCCTTTTTATCTGTCAGTAAAGTTCCCCGTCAGGTGAGCCCTGCAGATTCCTCCGTGGCCCCCAGCACTGACTCAGCGGAGGAGTCACTTGCTGGCCCACTACGTTGTAGGTCTGCCCGCTGGTCAGCCCGCGTTTTGGGTAAAGGTGCCTGCTATGCGTGGTCCCCACTAGGCGATCCCATATGCCTATTCAGCCACGGTTAAGTCCCCCCCCCTGGGCGGACCCGTGTCTTCCCTCCCCGCTAACCACTCTTTTGCTATGCGTACTCCCCCTTTTTAGGGCTAGTCCATATGTAAATTCTGCCATCTATCCCCCCTTGGGTAACGGATGGCCTCCGCAGCGTCCTCCCTATCGGGATTGCACGCTTCCCAACGTACTGTCGTATTTTCCTAGAATAATCTAGATGCTCACGACTTCCCAAAAAATATATCTAAATCCGTAAAACTTCTGTTGAAGTAGGATAAATTAGGGCCAGGGACACGTTGGAGGACCGCGCCCCCCATGATGCGGGTGCGTCACGCTTGCTTGACTATCTCCTCATCGGGGGTGTTGGTAAGGTGCAGTCATTATGGCGCTTTCAATGGGCTCCCAATGCGTGGATTTTACAAATCAAATCCACTTATAGTGCTGAAGTTCCCCCCGAAGGGGAACGTTCGAGGTTACTAAAGTAACCCTTCGTTCCCCGAGGAGGGGAACGGAAGCACTATACTCCGTCGCCATAATGACTGTCCCTTAGCTGTTGAAAGTCTCTTCAGCTTAAAAAGGATAGCGTCTGCTGGCGCCAGGTGAGCTTATATACTCAGTTGATTGCTTATGCCGCTCACCTGCGCAGGCTTGCGCTGCCAATTCATTCTTAATTGGCCCGTTCAATACTCTTTCAGACGAGTAGCTTCTGAACCGAACCTCCCAATGCGTGGATTTTACAAATCAAATCCACTTATAGTGCTTCCGTTCCCCTCCTCGGGGAACGAAGGGTTACTTTAGTAACCTCGAACGTTCACAGTATTTCCTATAACAGGTTTTCTTCTGGTGTTCTCAGTATTATGTATTTTCGTTTTTTAGTCATGACTAAAACATTTACAGCACTTTGGAAAACCTTTGATGTTTTAATGTGCTTTAAAAATAAAGAATGAATGAATGAATGAATGAAACAAATGAATGAATGAATGAATGAAACAAATGAATGAATGAATGAATGAATGAATGAATGAATGAATGAAAGACAAAAGAATGTATGAATGAAATAATAAATAAATGAAGGAACAAATGAATGAACAAAAGAAACGATTTAATGAATGAATGAAAAAATTACTTATTAATTAATTAACAAATTTATAAATGAATGAAACAATGAATGACTGAAATGAAGAAAATGAATAAACGAAAGAATGAATGACAGATGAATGAATGAACGAATAAATGAATGAATGAACAGATGAATGAATTAATGAACAAATGAATGAAAGAATAAATAAATGAAGGAATGAACAAATGAATGAACAAACTAATTAATGAATGAATGAATAAAAGATTGAATAAATAAATGACAAATTAACGAACAAGCAAATGAATGAATGAATCAAAGAATGAATAAATTAACGAATTAATGAATGAACGAATGAACGACTGACCAAACAAACGAATGAATAAATGACTGAACAAATGAATGAATGAAGGAATGATAGAAAGAATGAATGAACGAATTACTGATCAAACAAGCAATTAATCGAATAGATGAATGAATGAATAAATGAACAAATAAACCAACGACTGAATGAACCAATGAATGAACCAATGAATAAATTAAAAGATGAATGAATGAATGAACTAACGAATAAATAAATGAACAAATGAATGAACGAACAAACATTTATAATAATGGAATGACCCGAAGACACACCTCGTGTTCCTCTGGGACAGGGCCGCTCCACTGTCAGCCCGCGGTGTGTTTTTGGCCAGGAGATTCCTCTTTTTTCGGTTGGTTCACAGAAGCGTCTGCTGGCGGGCGGTACACTGGCGGCGGCGGTGGGGTCGGCTGGAGGCTCCGGATGCTCCTCTGTCAGAGGGTCTGTGGAGATGCTGGAGTTCAGAGACGGTCTCTGGGTGAAGCTGAGGCTGAGGGTGGTCTTCAAGACTGCTGGAGTGGATCTTCTGGGAGGAAGAGTAGAGGTGGCGTCATCAGACACCGTCGGTTCTGGAGGAACAAAAGATTGAGATTATCACATTGAAATATCAGAGCTTATATCACTGTAAAAAAAATAAAATAATAATAATAATAATTATGTAATAATAATAACAACAATATAATAATAATAATAATAATAATAATAACAATAATAATAATAATAATAATATAATATAATAATGTAATATTAACAACAATATTAATATTAATAATAATAATAATTATTATTATATAACAACAACAACAACAACAACAACAATAATAATAATAATAATAATAACAACAATAAAATAGTAATAATTATATAATAATAATAATAACAATATGATAATAATAATAATAAATAATAAAATATTAATAATATTATAATAATATAATAATAACAACAAAAAATTTAAATCACATTTAAATATAGGAGTTTATATCACTGTAATTAAAATTATTATTATTTTTATTATTATTATTTTTATTATATTATTATTAATATAATAATTATTACAATCTAATAATAATAATACTACAAATAATCTTAATATTACTATTATTATTAATAATAATAATAAGAATTATAACAACAACAACAACAACAACAACAATAATAATATTAACATAATATTAATATTAATATTAATCATATAATAAATCTTCACCTTAATTTTGCATAGGAAATAATATAATATTTTAATAATAATATTGCAGTGCATTTAAAAACCATACACAAGTGTACACAGGCTGTGTTTTGTCTATGACTGATATCAAACCAAGGATTTTTGAGTAAAAACTTTCAAGTTTTCAAGTTAGCTTGTCCGAGTGTTTTTCAGTTCTCCACCGTGTTTGTTTGTGCGCTCCTGTTTTAGACACAAGCGTGACTGCATGGAAATCATCCGTAATAATGAACATCACAAGATGTGAATGTGCTCAGAATAACAGATTTCTGCTCCCTTTCATCTCAGCCAATCAGAACAGACGCCTGATGGAGCCCAAAGAAAACCACACAATTCTATTGGCTGATAGAGCTAAAGCACCGCCCCTCATGTGTGGTCATGCATATAATAGCTCAGCACCATCTTGTTGAGTGTTTGATACAAGGATAAAGATTTTTTGGGTTTTTCATTCTTGGGGGTGGTGGGAGAAAGCTTTTCAGTGAAGCAGTGACTGTTGATCAGCCACACTGAGAACATTAGGACTTAAACTAAAATAAATACATACATTTAAAATGAATTAATACATAAATTAATAAAAAACATTAAAAATAAATACAAGTAAAAAACTGCCAATTTAAAATAAAAATAAAAATATTTAAAATAAATAAATAAATGTAAAACAAAAATGAATAAATACATTTAAATAAATAAATAATTTTAAAATAAATGAATAATAAATAATAAAGAAAAGTAAAATAAATAATTGTAAAACAAATAAATACATTTAAAATAAATAAATTAAAAATTAATAAAGTTATAATAAATAAATATTTTTAAATTAAACAAATAAAAGTTAAAAATTTTCAAATAAATGAATTTAAAATAAATACATAAATAAAATAAATTTACAACAAATAAATAAATACATTTAAAATAAATATATAAATGTTAAATAATAAAAAAATACATTTAATAAATAAAACAAAAATTACATTTAAAAATAAATTAATTTATAATAAAATATTTTAAAGAATAAATAAATGTGAAAAAGTAAAATAAAAAAATATATAATAATACATTTAAAATAAAAAAAAATATTTAAAATAAATAATTTTAAAATAAATAATTGTAAAATATGCACAAATAAATGAATGTAAAAAACAAATTAATAATTGTAAATTTTAAAATTAAAAAGTAAATAAATATAACAAATGTAAAATAAATTAATGTAAAATAAATAAATAAATACATTTATTTTTTTATGTAAATATGTAAAAAAATAAACTAATTAAAAAAAAATATTAAAATAAAGTAATGTAAAAAAAACAAAAATTAATGTGAAATAAATAAATAAATGTAAAATAAATTTTAAATATATTAATAATTTAATGCAAACAAAAAATTAAATTAAAATAAATAAATAATTTTAAAATAAATACATTTAAAGAAATAAAATAAATAAATAAATAAATAAATAAATAAATTGCTTTCGGGATGCAAAGAAATGTGTGATATTATTTCAAAAATGTGCTAAGAATTAATATATCAGTTGTCAGACAGTGAATCCAGCAGCACGCTGTAATATTCAGAAGATTGCACCGAGATCCAGGAGGAATGCTAATAATGCTCAAGCATTCATTTGTCTGGTCACCATTCAGCTGCTTGCAGGACTGGAATTTAATCACAATAACAAAATTACCCAAAAGCCTCTGGGGTCCTGTTTCCACCTGGCATTAACATGCATTCAGATGAGTCTCTTGTGGCCACTTGAGTTCAGATTCAGTAAAGACCTTTCGCTTTTATTTCCTCTCTTTACATGGAAGAATTATTGAGGGAACATACGGAATATAGGAACAAATGTAACCTGTTTTTTACTCTCATTTCATAAATGAAGTGCATTGATGCTTTGTGTGAATTCCAGCATTTAGTCGAATAAAGTTAGAATTAATTTGATAGTCAATATTTAAAAAAGCAGAAAAATCACTGAATTCACACCAGTATTTGAGTCGTTTACTTGTGATGGGATTGAAGAAAGTGCATTTTAACCCTGGAGAATTCCTAAGAACATTTATTTAATTTAGATTTTCTTTTTAAATAGTTTCCTTATTCTGAGCGGTTTACCAATCAATCAACAATATTTATAAAATACAAATAAATAAATAAACAATAAAATAATAATAAATAAACACATAAATAATTAAAATAAAATAAATATAATATTTTAACTAAAATAAAATGAATAGATAAATGAATAAATAAATATTACAATTAATAAATAAATTAAACTAAAATTTAAATAAAATAAAAAATAAAATAATAATAATAAAAAACATAAAATAAAATAAAATAAAATAAAATAAAATTAAATAATAATAAATAAAAATAAATTAATTAAATAAAAAGACCCTAGGGACATTTTTGAGCAAAAGCATAATATTTTTTTATTTAATTAAATTTATTTAAATAAAGATAATATTCATATAATCTGACTAAAAGGAAATAAACGAAGAAAGCTAAAAGTGAAAGCAATTTTCAAATAAGCGCACTCTTATGGTGATATAAATAATAATAATAAAAAATTTAAAACACAAAAATTCATTCATTCATAGATTTTTTTTAAAGACAGCGATATGACATTTGCTTTGTTTTTTTAATTTAATTTTAGTAATTAATGGCTGCAGTATAAGATATGCTTGAGAGTTAAAGGGACAGATCACCCCCCAAAAAATGAAAGGGATTGTTCACCCTCCCAGAAACATCAGTCAGCATTTATTTACTCGCCCTTCGCTTTTCACAAACCTGTTTGGGTTTCTTACTTATGTTGAACACAAATGAAGGTATTTTGAAGAATGCTGAAAACCTGTAACCATTGACTTCCACACTATTTGTTTTATGGATGTCAGTGGTTACCGATTACTAACATTCTTTAAAATATCTTCTTTTTTGTTTAACAAAACACAGAAACTCAAAGTTTACGATCACTGGAGGATAAATAAAATGTATTTTAGGGTCGAATTTTCACTTTCCAACTCACTGTAAGGCCAAGGTTTTTGTTTTGTGTGTCATTCAAACATCCTGAAGATTGTTTCACGCTGAGGGGATTTGAGAAAGGTGAAGGCAAACCTTTTTTCTCTGGATTTTAAAAACATTTAAGGATCATTCAAAGAGCTTTCCGTCATTTGTGTTTGACAGTTTAAACAAATAGGGCTGGATCTGGTCTATTATGCTGTCATCTTTAGCACAGGAAAACACACAAAGAAAAGACGACAAAAATCTAAACCTTGCCAGAATGTTTTTGTGTGATGTGCATGTCAAAATACGAGTGCCAAAAGTTACAATATTTATCGAAAGAAAACAAGATGCATATATACAGCGGGGGAAATAATTATTGAACTCTTTTCTCATATTTCTAGAGGTGCCGTTGACTTTGAAATATTCTCCAGATGTTGATAACAACCAAAGAAATCCATATACATGCAAAGAAAACAATATTAATTAGTTTATAAATGAAATGACGCACGTAAAAAGTATTGAACACATGAAGAAAGGGAGGTGTAGTTTGGCAGTGAACGCCCAGACAGCAGCTGAAATCTCTCAGTAGTTCTTCAGCAACCCTCTGCCCTTCCTCAGTGTAAATGAATACCAGCTGCCTCAGTCCGACATCCACATTGGATGAAGATGAAGCCAGGGTGGACATTTCAGCAAGACATTGATCTAAAACAGGGGTTCTCAAACTTTTCAACCTGCGACCCCTAAAACGACAATACCAGTGACTCACGACCCCCTCTATGCTCGGAGGTGGCTGTAAGCAAACAAATATTGTAAACAATGGTGCACACACACCAATAGGAACTATACAAACAAGCTTATTGACGACACAAAAGAAGGGCAACAGTCTATCCTTTATAATCATTATTCATTTGTTTAATCTAATACTAATCTCACTTAACGAGAATGGCGAGCACAATGTTTATAGCAAAAGGTTTAATTTTGGAGACTTGGAGCCACTTGGAGATCGTCCTCCTTGTTCAGTCGGGGCCTTTATTTTTAGTGAGTGCCATTAAGGTGTCAAAGCTTAACATTATACCGTAAAATCCATCTGCTGCAACTATTGCTGTGATGTTAATCTAGCCTAATAACCCCAGAGGCTGCAATCCAATGGAAAAAAAATTATTTGAAAGGCTGATGACTTTTTATGTGCATGTTTTTTAAATCTATTATTTAAATATATTTATAAAAATATATTTTATATATATATATAATAAAGGGACTAAGCCGACAAGAAAATTAATGAATAATATTTAATATTTACATTTAAAAATGTAAATATTAAATATTATTCATTAATTTTCTTGTCGGCTTAGT